GCACAACACTATGCACCCAGCCCCAACTCCTGCAGCTGACCCAAAAGGATACCATGGTCAATGGTATCGAAACCCGCCGAGAGGTCCAGAAGAGCAAGGATGGATGCGCTACCTCCATCCCGCTCTCGCCAGAGGTCATCCACAAGCGCGACCAATGCTGTTTCTGTCCCATAACCAGGCCTGAACCCTGACTGATAGGGGTCCAGATAATCCGTTTCCTCCAGGATCCTCTGAAGCTGCTGCGCGACCACCTTTTCCACCACCTTTCCTGAAAAGGGAAGGTGAGAAACTGGACGAAAATTGTGCAGAAGGGTGGGATCTAGTGATGGTTTTTGAGGAAGAGGCGGACCAAAGCTTCCTTGAAAGGCTTCGGGAACATCCCCTCCTGCAACGATGAATTGACCACCACCAGAGCCCACTCTAAGGTCACCTCCAGGAGGGACAAGGATCTAGAATACAGGTAGCCGCACCAACAGCCCCGAGGACCCCGTCCACTTCCTCAGAGCCAACTGGATCAAACCGTTCCCAGATAACTGGGTAAGAACATTCCCTGGGCAACCCCACTGGGCCCGCCACACGCTTGGCCTCCAACTGAGAATGGATCTGAGCGATTTTATCCATCAAGTGTTCAGCAAATTCCTCTGCACAGCCCTGTAAATAGTCCTCCGAGCCCTCCCTACCCCGGAGGGACTGAGCGACCCTAAACAGGGCTGCTGGGTGACACTCTGAGGACGCAATAAGAGCGGAGAAATACTGATGTTTCGCCGCCCTTACCGCCACTAGGCAGGCCTTAATAGTGGCTCTAACCCATGTTCAGTTGGACTCGTCTTTAGTTTTCTGCCAGCGGTGCTCTAGATGTCTCATAGCCCTTTCCAGCTCCCTCAACTCCTCTGTAAACCATGGGGAGTGCCGGGGGCGATGGGCTGAGAGAGGCCGCACAGGCACGATCCTGTCCAAGGGCCCGGCCGCCTCCTTATTCCAGGCCACAGCTGGACCGTGCAGCGAGGCCTCAGGAACAACCCCCAGCTCCCTTTGGAACCCGTGCAGGTCCATCAGTCACTGGGGGCAGACCATTTGAATAGGCCCCACCTCCCCGCAGAGCGGGGCAGCGTAGGAGAATCTCACGGCCACCATGACAGAGGGGATAATATCAGATCCCCCACTGGATCACACTGTCACTGCTCCAACAAGAAAACCATGTCTGGAGTGTGACCACTGTCCCCAGTCAGGCCATGGATGACCTGGGATAGGCCCATGGCCACCATGGTAGCCATGAACTCCCGAGCCACCTCCGAGGCCAGACCCAGGGACGGCAGATTAAAGTCCCCCAAGACCATAGGTCTGGGGAACTCCACTGCCAACCCCAAGATGGCCTCCAGCAGCTCAGGCAGGGAGGTTGCCACGCAGCAGGGAGGCTGGTACAGAAGCAACACCCCCAACTGATCCCGTGTATCCAACCTCAGGAACAGGGTCTTACATCCAGCCACTTGTGGAGCAGAGCCCCTGAAGGCCCGCAGAGATTCACGGATGACCACTGCTACGCCCCCTCCCCTGCCCTGGGGTCTTGGCTGGTACCAAACCCTAAACCTGGCTGGACACAATTCCGAAACAGCTACCCCCCCTTCTGGTGTCAGCCAGGTCTCGGTAATGCATGCCAGGTCAGCCTGCTCCTCCCCAATAAGGTTGTGAATAAGGGGGGCCTGATTATTGACCAACCTGGCATTCATCAGCAGCAGCTGAAAGCCCGGGCCTCTGTAGGCCTGCTGATGTGATGGAATGGAATTATGAAGGCCAGACTCAAGGAGAAAAACATTTTCTTAGCTCGCCGGAGG